TGTAGACTAAAGCAAATTAAAATTATTATGGTTAAAACTTCAAAATGATAAAAGAACTTTTAAAGGCTGAAAAAAGCCACTGAAGAAATTTATACACACACACACACACAAATATACATATATATAGAGAGAGATTAGGCAATACTATCATTAATCCTAATGATAGTATCAAATATTACATATAAAAGATAGGTAGGAACAAACTTTTTTCCTAAAGGCATTACAGTATAAAGTGACCTTATATTCTAGATTTTCTGTAATATAATAGTTATAATTGCAAATATTATATTTCCATAGACAATGGCTTACTAGAAAGCACAAGATTTTGTTTTTCTGGCTAGTCTAAACCTTCCAATTTTACCTCTCTATCTGTAAATAACAAAAATTCTTTGGGGGGAGGCCTATGATCTAAATGTTGGTTTGAAAAAGCAAAGCATCATAGATATGGGGGGAGTACCAGGTGACAAAAATATATATCAGGTTATAAATTTAGGAAGCCTAACACTGATCTAATCTCTGTTGAGTTATTGGCTACAGTGTGAACTTTAGACATTTAAATAACTATCATAAAGGGAAATACAAGCAAAATTAAGATTTACAATATCTATAGGGCAAACTAAACTAGTAGCACAGGAGAAAACTAGTCATTCCTGGTACTGAAAATTGAGATGTATTTCTTTAGCAAGTCTTCATAGATACAATATAAACACTAACAGCTTTCCTTAAACACAGCAATGCTTTTCAATGGATTTCTTATTATAACAAATATGCTGAAGACTTCAGACTAAAACACAAAGTTGCAGACACTAATATATGTCCTCTGTAATGATGTTTTTGGGAAATGACTCAGTGCAGCTTCCGGGTACAAGAGTTAAAGTTTTGTAAAAGTAAACATCTAGATTTGTTTTAAACTGAGAATATGACAGTAGTTGCATTCTGAGTGAAGAATTCAGATGTTCTGGATTGACCTGTTGTCTATAACTAATTAATTTGCTCATCCTAATGTGCATACAATACAGTTAAACTAAGTTTCATTAAGTTCCAGTGAGATTCAGGTAGACTTAAATTTTTCTATTTTTTGTAGGTAGCCAGGGAATAAGAAAGAGTTTCCCCTCTGACGTTATACTTAAAGTATGCTGCAGAAATGTCAGCGTGAGTATGGAATGTGCATATGAGTGTGCATTTGTTGCATGTGAATATAAGCAGAATTCTATTTTTAAAAAACTGTAAAACTGGGCCTCCCCGGTGGCGCAGCGGTTGAGCGCTGGGTTGCGAGGCTGCCCGCAGCCTCTGCAGCGCCGGTTCGTTCCCCGGCTGCTCCCCGTCACCGGAGGAGGGTCCCACATGGCGCGCAGACCTCTCCTGCCGCCCGCTACTCCCCTCAGCAGTGTGCTTCGGTCCTTCTGCCTGTTCTGCTCCCCGCTCTGGCTCTGGTGGATTCTCTCACCCTCCCGCGCTTCTGACTGTACCCAGTGCTTGTATGCATGTATGTATAAATCAATCAATCAATAAAAATAAATAAATAAATAAATCTTTAAAAAAAAAAAACTGTAAAACTTCCCAAACTTCGAAATGATCATTTGCTTTATAAATTATTTCTCCGGACAATTTAAGTGTTTATAATGATCCACTGGTTAGCATACTAAGACAAAGGAAATTTAAAGTGAAATTATTAAAAGCTGTAATTCACTAATAGTCAAAAGAAAAAAAATGAAATCATTTATGTAAATCAAGAGAAAAATAAGGATTACACATTTAAAAAAAAAAAGTGATGCATTCAAATATATACAGTGACCAAAGTCACCTCTAATCTTTCTTTCACTAAATTTTGTTTGGTTTTGTTTCACCCATAGGATAAAGAAGAAAAGCACTAGAGTTTCTCTGAATATCAGCTCCCCAGTTAATGAAAACTCCAACATCAGATCAAGTTATTCTACCTTAGTTCAGCCACTGTGTATTGACCCCCAGAGGGTAGGTACAATCGAAAGCCTTGGAGTAGGTAAGAAAGGTAATGGAGACACAGTCCTAGAGAAAAAGGGATCAATTCAACTTTCTTGAAAAGTACCCATGAGAAAACCCTCTACCTGCATGATCTCAAAAAGAACAAAAAAGAAATATATGGTCTCAGAAATAATTCCCAGGTAGTTCTATAAGTTGGCCATTTGTCTGTGTGCCAGATCATAAAAAACAGTAAGACAGCTGATTCTAAGAACTAAGATCCATAACAAAAGTATTCTAACTATTCAAGGAAAGAATTCCCTTCAAATTAAAAAAAAGGGAAGGTGCTTTCTCAAAAAACTAAAAGATCCAACAAGACAACTGTCTGGAGGAGGAAAAAATCTAATCCATAATATATAGAAATTATTTAAATTTTAAATATAGAATCTTAAGTATTGCCACTAATCATTTCTCAAATAATTTATCAGTCTCTAATCACTGGTCAAATGTAACTGCCCAGAGTTTTATTTCACCTTTTCTACTTGATGAAATGCTAGAGAAGAGAAAAAAAGAGGGACATTGTAGCAGATTCCAAACTGATATTTAAATTAAGAGCATCACCTTTTTCAAAAAGGAAACTTAGGGTGTTATTGATACCAACCAAAACTAAACCAGTAGCTAAAACGGATTTAGTTAGTCCACAACCACTATGGAACTTAGTTACAGAGTCTTCACAATATGGATGACAATGTCTCTTCTATTTCTTTTTTTATTTTATTTTATTTTTATATTCCCCATACAATTACAACCCCCTTATTTTGACCCCAACCCCTCCTTTCCCCGCTCCCCACGCCCCATAGAGCGACTCTGGTTCATAGTTGTTTGTTGATTTTGATATTTTCTTTCTTATAGTTATTCTTTTTCCTGGTCCCTTATTTAAGTTTTCTAGATTCCTGCTATGAGTGAGACCATCCGGTATTTTTCATTTTCTTTCTCTCTTCTGTTTCTTAAATCAGATGCAGAGTCCGTGCAGCAGCCTATCAGGATCCACTTGTGTTGTAGCCCCTGTGTTTACCAAGGTAACCTATCCATACTACATGACAGAGCTTAAAATTTATAGATAAATTGTAGACATTATCAACGGGGTAAAAACAAAGACAGGGGAAGAAAGAAAAGACCTCAGAGATTCTATTAATCTGTATTTGAGTAAACTGAGGCCCAGAAGGAGTAAGTAATTGTCAATGTCACAAAGCAACTCATGGTTTATCCTATGATCTTTAGACTTCAGACTTTTTTTTAGCTGTCAGGCCTCCAGCTCTGAAGGGCAAAGCTTAGACTGTCCTCTCCAAGCAGCCAATATTCTGTCTGACCTCAATGTTCATCAAATTCTCCTCACTAGCCATAAATGCTCTTCCGAAGAAGTCAAGCAAAGCAATGTCAATTTCCTGCTTTAGTCACAGTAAGAGATCAAGATTGGCAGGCTCCACTCTCACTCACCGGAAACAGCAGAATTCACTGACTTAGGTCATACCAACTAATGTTTGGGCTCTCTGTTCCCAAGTTTCCAAACCTGACAGAACTGGAACCACTACCCATTGCTGGTTCTAGTCATGAAAAGCAGAGCAGGAACTCAACATGTCCCAGACCAGTAGGGAAGAAATAGAAAACAATGTCATTAAGAGTAAGGAACACTACTATCAATTCTAGAAGCTCACTTTCATGCTGATGATTAGGCACAATATCTATTATTTCCACAAGACTCCTCTCTTGCTGTGTTCCTTCCCTGTGATACATAGTCTCAGATATCAGGCCTCAGGGGCTGATGGTCATGTCTCAACTAGTCCTCACAGCAGGATCTGAGATACTCCCTCTCTTGTTTTAGGACCAAATTATAATCTGAAATGTGATTCTAGATTTAGAGAACTCTTGGTCTGGAAATAGGACAAGTGGGAGATGAGAATTTAAGTGGAAATGTACTACAAATGTCACCCATTTATTTATGCATTGTGAGACTGAACTATTGTTAGTTGGTATGGCTGTTTGCTTTCATTGGTACTTAGGAGTAGATGTTTACACTCTTCAAATGTAACCACACCACACCCACCACTAACCTATAATCCTCTACCACTGTCCACCGGACTCCCCTGCACCAGTGGCCCCCACTACCTCTCTCCCTCTGGTAACCTCAGTTCAGCAGTCAGAATCCAGGGTTCGTCTTGGTTTTTAAAATAGTTATTGTTAATTAACACATTTTATATATCAATATATCTCTCAATTCTTTAGAGAAAGTTTTTAGGTTATATATCTTCAATGAGCGTCAAAACTTCAAGGTAGGCTCAGTATTTTGTTAGCCCTATTTTGCAGATAAGAAATCTGAGTTTGACAGAGGTTAAGAATCCTTCCAAGTTCCTATGATCAGCTTCCACCAACTTGTGGCAGAGTTGAGATTATGGTACAAACCCTAAGTCGTGATTCAGAGAACTTAACAAATTACAATACTGCCCACGCTACTGGGACCAATAACAAAGACTAAACCTGTAACTAGATATATATTCAATAAAATAATCTAGCGCAACAAAGAGAGGACTTTTCAACGGATTTACTTTCTATTTTGAAAAATAGTTCTTGGGAAAGTGAAAAACAGCTTTTTCCTAAAACTCATCTCTGTGAAGTTAGGATAAAAATTATTTCAGCCTGACAGTAAAGAACACTATAAAGTGGGCCTCCCCGGTGGGGCAGCAGTTGAGCGCTGGGTTGCGAAGCTGCCCGCCCGGCCACCGGAGGAGGGTCCCACATGGCGCGCAGACCTCTCCTGCTGCCCGCTGCTCCCCTCAGCAGTGTACTTCAGTCCTCTGTCTGTTCTGTTCCCCACTCTGGCTCTGGTGAATTCTCTCACCCTCCCGCGCTTCTGACTGTACCCAGTGCATGTATAAACAAAACAAACAAACAAACAGATAAATAAAACATGCCTCTATTTAAAAAAAAAAAGAACACTATAAAGTACAAAAGAATATCCAGCAGCTCCTTCATTGTCAGTAATTATGAGAAAAGCATACACTTACTGTAACTGGCATCCCAAATCCTTGTATATGGTGCAACCATTTTTTCTACTCTGTGAATTCTGTGTTTGTGCTTCAGCACCTTCAGGACATCTCTACAACCAGAGGTCAATTTGTTGTGTTTGAGTGCCGAGTCCAGAGCACAGCCACAGTTCAAATTCACTGGTACAGAGAGGAAGATCAGATAGCAGACTCGGATGACTTCCGGATTCTGAGGAAAAGTATGGTGACAAACTTTTCAATATGATTTTTTAAAATTTAATTGAATATTTTATTTATTTATGCATACAAGAGCTGGGGTGTAGGCCAGAGGTGTGGGGGTGGGGAGAAGTGAAAGGATTCACCAGAGACAGAGTGGGGAGCATAACAGGCAGACTGACTGAAATACACTACCGAGGGGAGTAGTGGACAAGACAGGAGAGCTTTGCTGTGCCATGTGGGTTAGCTCCCTGGCCAGGAATAGAACTCGTGCTGCAGTGGCTGCTGAGAGCTTCATAGTACTGGACTTAACTCCTTGTGCCACCAGGCAGGCCCCTTTTATAAGCTTTTTATTGCAACCAATCTTGAAATCTAATTTATGTTTTGAAGTTTAACAGCTGATTTGTCAGAAGCTTCGAGATTTCTACTGGTAAGCAACTGTGATTTCAAATAGAAAAAATTCCAAATACAACCATTAAAGAAAAAAGGGTTGTTTTATTTTAATTGAACAATAGTTTTAACAACCTTGGAAATAATGTATTTTTTAAAGATTTATTTTATTTATGCATCTAAGAACTGGGTTATAGGCCAGAGGTGTGGGAGGGGATTGAGAGGATTCACCAGAGACTAAGTGGGGAACAGAACAGGCAGATCTCAACTGAAATACACTGCTGAGGGGAGCAGCGGGCAAGAGAGAAGTCTGCTGCGCCATGTGGGTTAGCTCTCTGGCCAGGGATGGAACTTGTGCTATAGTGGCTGTCCATAGCTTCATTGTGCTGAGACTTAACCCCTTGTGCCACTAGGGAGACCCAAGAATGATTTATTTTTATAAATTAATGTTAACTATCTTCCTAATGATTTCTTGGCATACAAACAAAATAGAAATGTGAGAAAAAACATTTTTTAAATAGGAAAACAAATGAAAATAGATACAAAGTTTTAAAGTGTTAAGTTTCCTACTGAATAATTAAAGGAAAGATAACAAGTAAACACTGAGCTTATGCTTTATAAACAATCTCTTATTTAATCTTCACATAAACAATTTGAGGTACATGTCATTATCTCCATTTTCTATATAAAAAAATTGAAACAGAAATGCTACACACCTTGACCAAGGTCACAACGGTAATAAATTCTGCAGCCAAGGTTCAAGCACAAGATGGTTTTTGTGTTAAATAAAGAAAATATAATTATTTAAATATTAATTCAAAACAACTGAACATTTGTATATCACATTTATGAAGAAATATCTATATTACAGAATATGGCATTTCCTTTAAAAATAACAGTTATTGGGTCTCCCCTGGTGGTGCAGTGGTTGAGCGCTGGGCTGTGAAGCTGCCCCCAGCCTCTGCAGCGCCGGTTCTACCCTACCGGCGAGGGTCCCACATGGCGTGACAGACCTCTCCTGCCACACCCTCTGCTCCCCTCAGCAGTGTATTTCGTCAGTCTGCCTGTTCTGTTCCCCGCTCTGGCTCTGGTGAATTCTCTCACCCTCCCGCACTTCCGACTGTACCCAGTGCTTGTATAAATAAATAAATCTTTAAAAAAAACAAAACAGTTATTGCATTTTCTGAGAAGAAAGTAATACAAATTCATTATAATAAATCTAGAAATACAGTAACATAAAGAAGAAATTTTAAATTGCCCATATTCTCACCACCCAAAGAGAACTATTACTTACTTTCATGTATATTTTTGTATAGTAAGATTACAGTATTTTTATAATGTAAACTTCAACTTTATTTTAATTAAGCTTTTAAAAAGGATTTTCTCTGGAGAAAAAGGGCATCTAAGACCCAGTGTTTCAGCAGCAGTACATTCTGAGAAGAAATATTATCTGGCTTTACCTTCATGTTAGAGATGAAGAACTAAAGCCCAGAGAAGTAAAGTAATTTTCACAAAGTCACAGAGCAATTTAGTGATAGAACCAGGACTAAAATATATAATTTCTAGTATCCTGATATGTGTTCATTCCATTGTGTACCTTTCCTGAGTTTCTATAGAATTTATAGTGTGTGATTGCATGTCACAGAAAACCATATATGGTGATTTCTCATATGTACATGACACCTTCTCCCAACTAAATTAATTGTCATTATCTAAATTCTCTGTTCTCTTGTTTCATCTTTCAGAAGCTTGTTTATCATCTATTCCTGGTAAGTAAAATTTTCAGCATTTTTTAAAATAAACTATTAGGCAAAATTATCATCAGAAAATTTTGTCTCCTAAATCAATTTTGCCTTTATGAGCAATTCTGAGACTATCCTATGTTAATCCTTGAATGGACACAACAGTGGGATTTATCAGTGTATTTATTCATTCATTCATTCATTCCACATATATTTGCTGATACAGACAATGGCCTGGCTCCACTGTTATCTCTGAGGAAATAGCAGTGAATCAGAATGATAAAATTGTGCCCTCATAGATTTTACAATCTTCCCCTAATTCCAGTAGGCACAGTATTTTTGTTGTTGTGTGTTTGTTTTCTTACATTGTTTTTGTACAGTATTTGATTTCTCCCCTCAAAGTATAGTCCCTGTAGTTCTCCCACTACCATAGCACCTGTGAACCATCACTATAGTCCCTTATGCTCTTCCCTCCTATTTTGACCCCTTTCCCTCCTGTATAGGCATAGTATTTGTGACACATGATGCAGTATAGAGGTGTCCTGACATCAAACATCCAAACTATTGCCTCTCCAAGAAGTAAGTGTGGTACCCATCACTGTACTAAGATTAGTTCTAATGACCACAGAAATGACCATTTTTAGTTAAGTTCAGAAAATGTTTCTATAGACCTTTATGGTAAGCACTAAAGTTATGGAAATCTACAAGTCAAGGAATAAAGAATAGTTCTTGCTTTCAAGGAACTCACAGTTTAGTAGAAAAAACAGATGTCCCTGAGACAGGTGATGAGGACCACACTATGATTGTTTTAGGTTATGTTTCTAGATCTATCTTAATGAGTCCACTCAAAGGACAAAAAAAATTTTTAATCAAAAAAATTTTAATATAAGGAATATGCTCTTCCTAATAACTACTCTCCTTAATATTCTCCCACACTGTTCATTAAATTTGGACATCCAAATACTCTGATCCAGTTGCATTTATTCCCCTTCCAGAGCAAGTCTGCACCTTGATTATCACAGAAGCATTTCCTGAAGATTCTGGGGAGTTCAAGTGCATTGCAGAAAATGAGGCTGGAACTGCAATCTCTGTAGCAAGACTGTTTGTTTCCCCAGGTAATTACTTTTTAGGATCTCCTCGCTCTAATTCTGCCTTGATCCAAGAGGAAGATCTGTTTCTATCTAAACTGGTGACTAATTGTTTTTCAGAAGGAAAAGAAATGGAGAAATCAGAGAGTTTCCCAAATTTACCCATGGAGAAATTTCCTCCAAGACTGGACTCCTTTCCCTGGAGCAATGACAGCAATGCAAAGGACAAAAATCCAGACAATACCCCAGTAAACCTTATGCCAACTATTCCTGAACCATCTCGTCACAGTGAACATGAAATCCAGATTCCAAAGGAGAATTTCTACACTATCAATGAAAATTCCTCTGTGCTACAACCACAATGGTAAGAATGGATGGACCTAACATTTACTCATGCAACAAATATTCTTGGATCTGTAGCTATTACAGTGAACATGACAAAGCTCCTGACCTCAGCAGGAGATAAATCACTTTGTCATTTCTCCCTTGCCCTCTATCATGCATTTCACCATAGCTGACATAGTAAGCCATGTGAGTTAATTCACTTAAGGGTTTGTTACAGAGACTTATTGGGGAAAAAAAAGTCATTGATGGTGAAATGGCACAAAATATTGAATAAATGGAATCTTTTCCCAGAATAAAATTTAGTATCCTCTTAATATAAATAAGTAAAATATTTTGTGTTACAAGTTTCTCACGGTCAGTCTTAGAAAACAGACAGAATCATCTTTGTGTTTAGAGGACAAATGTTTAAATGAAAAGATATTCAGTAAGAGAATTTGCCCACTAGACTATTCTAAAACAACACAATCTACCAGCATCCCCAATCCACAAATACAAAAACCTAAAAATTTAAAAGTCATTTAATATCTAACATAATCCCCTAAACATTTTACTTGGCTAAAACTACCTTTGGGCTAAACTGAGGTTAACACCTCTAATAAAACTTAATGATCAGCATTCTTGACTATATAAGACAGCCAAATATAGCCTCTGTTAATCATAAAATAAAAAGATATTGGAATCTCTTATAATAATAGATTTCTTGAGTTGTATTTAAGTCTATTGAGAGAAATACACCATGTTAGATATTAAAGGAATCAAAGGTCATTCACATCAAGTCCCTCATTCCACAAGTGACTAAAATTTAAAAAACCAGCTCATATTGTTGAGGGTTGGGTCCTCATGCTTCCCTCACCTTGGGATAGGTACTTGTCCCAGTGCTTCTTGCAATGAAGACAGTGAGGGAAAGAATGTGGGCTTGGAGGCTGCCAAACATAGTATAATGTATGTGAATACACAGGCAGGAATTCAATGAATAGTAGCTCTTACTTTGGTGGTTTTTAAAATCAAGATCAGTGTATCTCCAGTAATTGCTTTTTTCTTCATTTCCTGTAACCCCTTGGTCTCTGGGCTCTCTAATTGCCTGGGCATAGCTACCCCCACAAGTAAAGACTCCATATGGGGGCCTCCCCGGTGGCGCAGCGGTTGAGCGTCTGGGTTGCGAAGCTGCCGGCGACCTCTGCGGCGCAGCGGTTCGATCCCCAGCTGCTCCCCGGCCACCGGAGGAGGGTCCCACATGGCGCACAGACCTCTCCTGCCGCCCGCTGCTCCCCTCAGCAGTGTACTTCGGTCCTTCTGCCTGCTCTGCTCCCCGCTCTGGCTCTGGTGAATTCTCTCACCCTCCCGCGCTTCTGACTGTACCCAGTGCATGTATAAACAAAACAAACAAATAATAAATAAATAAATAAAAACATGCCTCTATAAATAAAAAAAAAAAAAATGTGTTTAAA